TAGTACGTAGTAGGTGTTGTAGTACGTAGTGTAGTAGTCGTAGTAGTGTAGTAGTGTAGTGTGTGTGTGTGTGTGTGTGTGTGTGTGTGTGTGTGTGTGTGTGTGTGTGTGTGTGTGTGTGTGTGTGTGTGTGTGTGTGTGTGTGTGTGTGTGTGTGTGTGTGTGTGTGTGTGTGTGTGCAGAGGAAACCCTTACTTCATGCAAGGACAAAATAATACAAATGTTGTAAGATTGACCATCATTTAATACATTATTATTATTATTAAGAAATTAGGTTTGGATTTTGCAGATTTTGTCCTTTACTTCCCCAAATACAAATAACTGCACTCATTATTAAATTGTAATTGATCATGCCATCTTGCAAACATTACCAAAGCTGTTTTCTTACAGCTGAAGTCTAAGTGTTACTGTTGCTAAGTCACACAGGTTGGTCTATGCACTTTGAAACACGGGTACGATTGTCTAAGCAGATTCATTAGTTTGTGTGTGTTGCAATAAGTAATAGTTGCAGTCATACATCGTCTCATTTACATTGTGCAATGATTAGATGTGTTTGGCCACCTTAAAATGTAAGGAGAACTCCACAGGGTTACTCAAATTGTTTCAATATTTAGTTTATATTCCATTGAGTTTGCTGAAGTACAGAAAGGTTTTTGAATCAGTTGGTAACATACGACCTGGAAAGGCCAATTTATTCATTTACATTGTTTTGATAAATACAGTCTTGTCTTTCTAAAACTAAACCATTATCTGGGCATTGATATGTGTAATCACTTCCATACATAAAAACTCTTTAATCACTTTGTTCATATTCACTTTATTCTCACTAATAATTTGTTGCATGATTTTTGTGTTTTGTGGTACATCAAATGTGAGCTTATGATTTATTTTGTTATACAGTGGACCTGTTCTTAAATGCTGCTGAATTGATGTAAAGTCTTAATCCAACATGATTGTTTTATCTTTATTGTATTTTAATTTTGTTTGCCTCTATAAGGCTTTGGCCAACCCATATACCTCAGGACTGTGTGTGTTACAGATCAGAGAGACACACAGAGTATGGACAAGAACCAGAGGATTATTTTTTAAAATCATTTTACATGCCAAAAGAGAGGCGTGACACAGCTTCTGTTTCTGGTTTCTTCTCTGTATTTACTTTCTGACTATGAGCTGAGGCAGTGTCATTAATACAATTAAAAACCTAAATATCAAAAATGTTACCTCTTTTTTTTCTTCATCGTACATTTACATAACTGCATTTATCCGCAGCAGTGGAATGTCATCAGCTCAGGAATTTTTCTTTCTTCTAAAATAATAAAATCTGGAACTTCCACAGTCAATTTGTTGAACCTGACTTTAAAGCATGTTACTATTTCACTGTGTGCTGCTTCAACAAAATATGGTTTTAGTTTCAGCTTTGTTCAGAATCACCCATGAGTGAGACAGCACAGTCCCAATAAATGTGTTCAAGATTTAAACACGAGCCAATATTATTTTAATGGTAAAGTGAAATTATATTTATAGTTCTGAGTGTATGAAGCTCCTGGTGGGCGTGTAATTACATTGAAATTGGAAATATATTTCCCACATGGTAAATCCTCCATGTTATTTTTCAAACATTTATACTTTTTAATGTTGATTCATTAGATTTATTCCACATATGGAAGTCCAGTTTGGTGTTAGGTTTTCTTTTCTTTTAATAGTGGTTTTGTGTTTCAGCTGAGAGCAAACAAACTGTCACGAGAAACCTTTCCCCATTCAAGCCAGTGTTTGGAAAAGAATAATGGAGTTAATAGGCAGAATGGAAAACAATAGGAATAGATCAACCATGATGTGTTTGTTTATTTGAAGTATATCTTGAAATACGTCATCATGTGATTTAATTTCACAGCACCTGCTACATACATACACTATTTGTTTATCAACTTTCTTTTTTAACCACTTTATTTATTATAAAATATGATTAGCAAATCTGAGCTGTTGAATGATGAATTGTGAAGAAAAAATGAATGATTGGCTATGTAAATTTAACAGCATTACAATGAGATTATCAATTTGTATCAGCATATCTCTGGCAGTGTGTACATCTGGTTATTTAAACCGGTTTTATCACGTCATCACGTCTCACGTCCACCTCCTGTGCTCTGTTTGTAATCTCTCAGTAAACTGTTGCCTTCAGGTAGTGTGGGAAACAGCGACTCCTCTGTTGTGGATCCGTTTTTACTAGCTGGTTTAAAACAGCTAGCTAAAAACAATGAGTTTACATATTGCCTTAATTCAAATGATGTGTTCATCAAACAGCTTGTGGGTGGTATTTTTGAAACATTTAAGCCCAGAAGCATTTGTTTTTACTTTAGGTAAATGTACATATATTAAACACATTTTAGACTTCAAGCATTTCTTCAAGCATTTACAATTACATTTGGTAATTGGAATTTGACTGAAAGTCCTTGGAGCCAGATTCAGAACTGATTATACTAGGAATATCAGAGGCATTTATTAGGATACATTGGCGGCTTTTGAGCATCAATGTATTCCCTATCAGCCAATAACAATATACAGAAAGTCAAATAAAATGTATGTATTTAATAAATAGCTTAAATTCCCGAAAGAAATCTAAAATGTCCAAATTTTACTTAGGCTACATATTATCGGGGAAACAGTGTTATATTGAGGCTTTGCCCTATGTATACATGTCAAGAATATGCACGAATGCTTATAACAGAGACTATTTAAAAGAAAAACACACATGTCTGCCAGGTAATCAGTCTATGACCTATTGTTATTCCGGAGTTTGCAAGGAGGCCTTGAAGGCAGCATGTCATCTCACGCACACACAAGCACACACACACCCACCCTCCTCGCGGGAAGCTCCGCTATCTTTAGACCCGCCACGGATTACAGTGCGCAGTGTGTCACAGACTGCGTCTCTGTTACACCTGCTCGGTTCATCTCTGTGAGTCCTTCACGCTGAAAAACATACACACGTAAAACAGGAGTGATGGAGGAATGACAACAAACTGCGTCTCCGTCTACGGCTCTCCGTCCCCGAGAAGACCCCCAGGATGCTGCTGCTCTCCAGTCCGAGGAACGGACGCCTGCGCCAGGCCTCGCTGCTGTTGCTCACCGCGGTGCTCCTCTGTGTAGCCCCCGTCAGTGCTAGCCCGCCAGGTAAACACACAACGAACACGACAAAAACACTATTACCTTTGGTTGTGTTAGCTTATTCAGTCTTCTTATAAACAAATGTTAATGGGGCATCTTAAGTCAATTTATCAGGTCGTGACAAAAAGCAAGACAGAGGCTTGTGTTTATCTAAATATTGTTTTTGTTTTAATTCACCGAGTAAGACACGTGTGTTTTTCTGAGTTTTTATTTTTATTGTTGTTATTGGTGTTGGCTTTGTAGTAAATATAGTGGTGTGATAGTATTGGACATAACATGAGTTCAGATTTATATATACAGTCTATGGTTCAGATTTTGGACAGGTCAGGTGAGTGAGGGAAAAGCACAAGGAAAAACAAGGGTTAACAAAAAATACAAATTCCCGTAAAGTGAGTCATTTCCTTTTAGGCTCACATATTTTTACACTAATGTATCCTGAATGTGGACACAGCCATATTTGTAGATTGTGATAGATAACGCTGCTTTTTAAACAGTGTATTCATGTGTTCATAATCGCCATTAATTAGTTCTTAACCAGTAAATGATTTATCAGCTTAACTTCTATCACAGTGAAATTACTTTGTGACATTTTCAAAAACAATACTGCTTATTGATCTGAGCTGCAGTCACACAATTCAAATCATTTCGCTAGGATTGGTGAAAAGAAAGCAGCTGTCTGTACTTTGATTATATTTAAACTATAACATCTGTAAAAAAACAAAACATGGATTCATTTAGTAAATCTCTTCACAATTGAATAACTGTCTTTAGCACTTTTTAGAATATGATGGAAGCACGGCCCCAGCAGACGATTGTTTTAACTATTGAATAATCTACAGAGTATCCTTCTCAATTAATCTCTAAAATGTCAGGATATTGTGAAACATGTCCATCCCAGCTTTCCAAAACCAAGGTGATGTATTTAAATGTCTTGTTTTGTCAGTCCAAAACCCAAAGATATACTATTTATATAAACTATTTATATTTATATTCTTTAAACCAGAGGAAATCACAAACTGAAACAGCATTTTTGGAAAACAAACAATGAATCAAAGAAAAATAGTTAATGGAAGTTGTTTTTCTGTCATTGGACTCATCTAGTCGACTAATTGTTGCAGCTCTAACTGATAGCATAAACGTGTGTGTGTGTGTGAGAGTGATGGGTCCCCACACAGTAATAATTGCTGATGTTTGCAGGGGAGATAATCTGCTTCTGAGCTTTTAACACAGAATCCCTGTGGGAGAACCAACAGCTGGACTCACATGTAATCTTAAGCCTTTATCTGAGTGGCACATACAGAAACACACACTCACACAGTACATGTACTGCCTCTTCATTTTGCTTGTGCACGATGGAGAGGATATGACGCAGTGTTTTTTTCCTCCGGTAAGAAGTCTGGTCATTTTTTTGCTTTGCATCAAAATTCAACCAATGCCAATACTTCCTCACTCCAATGCTGAAAAACCTAACTGTTGTGAAAAAGATAATTTGGTGACATTAAGAAGTTTTCAGTGTCAGAATTTGAGATGGAGACAGACAAAGCTGTCAATACACTGCTGCCTCCAGTGTGTCTCGTCTCCAGAAAAGAGTCAAATGTTTGGTGTCATCACAAGTGAAGGATCTTTCTAGAGTTGTCAACACCTGTTAGATTTGAACGCAGCTTCTATATAACAATGTGTGACAGTGTTAGTATGTGGTCTATTGTTTGAGTATGAGTAAGGAGACAAGGCACAATAACACATTTTTACCCCCCTATGTGAGTTTGGATAATAAGTCACAAAGAAGGGTGAAAGGGTAGCTGAACAGGAATTTGATCGCAGGCATTTTGGTTGAGTATGGTGCTTTATTCAAGAGTGTTGAATACATTGGAAACATTTCCAGAACCGCCAAAAAGCACATACAGTATTTACAGTGAGTCATGTTTCATGGGGGATTTGCTGGAGTGTGACAACAGCATGGAGTGCATAGTAATGAGATGGTTGATTCAGAAAGTGTTGACACATCATGTGTAAATATGGCAGAGAACACTTTTACAGAACATTTGGTTCTTGGGATGGAAGTAATCCAACATCTCCATAAACCCGGTAGGTGACATAAATGTTGTCTAGTCTGCTGACAAAGAGACAGAATGATCTTAACATCCAGATTCAGAATGTGTTGTGTGATTCATGTTAAGTGGGGGCAAGGTGAATAAGCAGCAGAAAAGTCACTTTTTCCACTGATTCTTTTTGCGTTCATGTTCTTGCTGCTCTCTATCAGCTTTTCCTTTTAAACACGGCATCTTTACTTCTCAATGTTCCAATTCAGCAGTGTTGTGCTGCCATGTTTAAATGCCAGGTTTGTCATTCACATAGATCTGATGAGATAATTTATTCAGAGTCACTGCCTCTGGCCTTTTCTTTTTCCAGGATTAATCTTTAACTATTAATACCTTTACTGACACACACACACACACACACACACACACACACACACACACACACACACACACACACACACACACACACACACACACACACACACACACACACACACACCATCTGCAGTGTTTTTCACCTTTCCTTACCCTGCGGCAAAATTATTCATCTGCCAACGTGGTAGTGGAGAGTGAGGGCAGTGAAAAGTCAGGGGAAAAGGACACACACACACACACACACACACACACACACACACACACACACACACACACACACACACACTGCCTTGTGACATAAAGCCCACTGAGGCGATGACAGGGTTTATAAGTAAGGATTTTTATCCTCATGTGACTCAAGATTAAATCGAAGTTTACGTATGTTTTCAGTTAAAGGGAATCAGTAAAAGGACATTTCTATAGTTCAAGGATACTAATAATAATACTACCTCTGAAATGTTTTCATTGGACATTTTCAAATCGTTATCTTTTTCCCTTTTTTAAACTTGGTTCGATTAATATTAGATGTGAAGTCAGTTCTTCCAGGAAGTAATTTAGTAAATGCAGTTTAAAGCTTGGTACTCCTCCCTCTGGCTTCAAATGGATCTAATTTGCAGCTTGTGTGGGCTTTGAGGGGATTTGACCTTTCCAGCTCTCCTCAGTGAGAGAAAGGGAGAAAGACCATCCAATTATACGTTGGTAACCATTACACTGACACTACGCAACAGCCAGGAAAGATATTATTGATCTGAGGTCATTGTTGTCTCAATTGGAGGTCTGAAAAATAAGCGGTTTGCCAAGGCTTTGCTGTAGTGGCATCTTAAAACCACTGCTCTCCCACTCCCTTTCTCTCCTATCGTTTTTCTTACTTTCCTTCACTCCACCCTGGGCTTCTCCATTGAGAGCCTACAGTCGGCTACCAGACTTCTCCAGGAAATGAGCCTCAATTAATCAACGTACAGAGCGCCTTTAGACATTTGATCAAGCCAGTCAGCACAGTTAGGCTGGAATGAAACCCTCTAGGCTGCTTCAGTTTGAGTACTGCCATTAACCTTAAAGATGGAGTAGGAGGCATTTGTTCCACGGGGAGGTGTCATGTTTCACAAAAAACTCAAAACAACCTGTTAGCATATTGTATTGTAATTAAATTGGTCTGAGGAAAAAACGAAACTTCTGCATAGGGCTGCACGATATTGAAAAAAACTGACATTGCGATATTCTTTTCCACTACGATATATATCGTGTTTTTTTTTTTAATATCGAACGCCCTAAAATATTTTAAAAAAGAAATAATAATAATCGCACGTCCCTGCGATGTGAATATCGCACATGCGCATATCGCGGTTATCGCCATGACACGGTATATCGTTCAGCCCTACTTCTGCACCTCTTGTTGGGTCTATTTTAAGGCTTTAGAAAATCTAGCCCGTTTAGAGAGACTTCGGCTAATCATAGGTCATTTCAGAGAAAGGGCGTTACTATTGGCTGTTCTACAAATGAGACCGTCACGGCAAAAGTCTAGACTCTAGTACAATAAATAGGAAGACCATAGTGCTATTCCACCATTGACACAACATGCCTGTACTGCAAAGCGACCCAAAAAAGGAATACACACTGTGTCCCGATAAAAGAGAATATTTGCAAAGTATTTCACAGATGGAGAGAACCTCTTGCTAATAGTTTAGGCTTGTTTAGAGGGAATTTAGCCCAATGACAACAGCTGTAAATGTTGTAGCAACAGTGATGTTGTTATATTAAGACTTGTCTGTGATGGAAATGAACAGAACATTTTCTATGTCAGGGGTGATGTAGCACAGGTTACATCTGTGTCGAGCCACATCCTGACCAAGAACGAGAGTGTCTGTGTAACCTGAATTAAATGGAAACATCATAATGTTAGTGCTAAAACCTCTTCCGTAGTCATACCAAGAAATCTGTCTGTTTTAGATATAGCAAATGCTTTTGATAACACTGGGTGAAAAGGAGATTATCTATTGAAAACTCATTTTGAGCGCAATCGGCATCATTCAGTTTTGGGGTAATGTAATTGTTGCATTGCATACTATTCTAACAACTGGACAGGCCAAAGAAATACACATGATGATGATGATGATGATGATGATGATGATGATGATGATGATAAAAGAATCAGAAGAAGAATTAGGAGAGCCTAAATCAGGGAGCTTTCATTTGCCAGATACTTGCTGCCATTGTATAAATCCTTCAGCCTTTGTTTGGGTTGCTGCGGGGTGTGCTGCTCTGCTACCCTCTAACGATGATGACAGGGTAATTATCCCCTGTGTAAATGGGTTAGACTCGTCATTGTCTGACATGACAGAAATTACTGCAACAGAAAAGACGAATGACAGACGCAGGGAGAGATAAGACTGCACAACGAGAGATGGAAAACAAGGATTAGTTCCGCTTTCTACAAACTTGAATTCGATGGAGAGTGAAATTCTTTGTATTTTTTTTGTGTGTTTCACTTCCTTTTAACCTTAGCCTCTACTTACCACCGCTTTATTTCCTGCTTCGGCATTATGACGTGTCTGTGCTCTGAACAGGTGCTAATTCATGCCCCATTTTCCACAA